AAGCCGGGCATTTTGCTGATCGGCGCCCAATGCCCGACCATATTGCTTTGCCTCGAGTAGTGATATGGATAGAGGGAAGGGTGCTTGGCCGCTCAACTGGCTGTGGGGCATCACGTTGCGGCGGGCGCTAAAGGGAGACGGGATGCACCCACGCTGCACGCGAGCAGCGGACGCATCGTTCGCATACAGGCCTCGTGCGTCGCGTTCTCAAACTTCGACACCGCGATTATATTGCGCGTCGCTAGTTTTCTTGCATTTCCTGCAGAATCGCGCAAGAGGTGCTCACGAATGGCCGTGATGCGCACCATTGATGATGGTGGGGAGGCGAATTGCTGAGCATGTGAGCTCATGGCCACCTTGCTGCCTTGACCCAGCCGAAGTCGGGAAAGAGCACTCGACAGTGTGCGTCGCACCTGCCCGCGGGAGGTGAGTCTTCGTCAGCGCCTTCTTCCAACCCTCAATTAGCGCCAACTCGTAGGTAGCACCGAGAGGCTGCAATTGACCGACCGCAACAACAGATTGACCTCCTTACAAATTTCCACCGCCGTCAGCGTGAATGCGACAGTCCCACAAACATCTTTGTTTGCCGGATGTGGCGGTTATCCGATGCATGCTGCTTGCGAGCCGTTTGGTGGCACCCCCTGGCCCCTGGCCTTTCCATCGCTTCACAGCCTCAGCCACCAGCCGTAAGAGTTGCGCTTTCCGTCACCTTTCTGATACTTTGGGGGTTGAATCCTTCAACTGGCGAATAACTACCAAGTGGCCAGGAAGCGAGCCGCTCTCTCAATCTGCGACACCGCTATTTGCGTCAACGCATCCCAAAAGGGAACTGGCCTGATGAAGGTGCGCATGGCCACACATCGAGCAGCCACACTTCGGCGTTGGCCTCACGCGCTCTTTCATCCGCGGACGAAGAGATGGATGACGGAGTGAAATCGGGTTGTAATTGGCAGGATTGGAGCATGTACTTTGCACATGCCGGTCTTGACAAAGCGTTACCATGAGCTTGGAAGACTCGGTACTGTTCGGATATCTCACCTGTCACGTTGCTTGCCAGATGCTCTTCCGGCTAACAGGTCCCACTATCACGAAGATTTCATTCCACCGTCTTTTCACGAACGACGTACCGGCTAATCTCCATGGTGCACTCAACGTCCACCGATATTACTACCTCAGCCACGACGCCTCAACAGACTAGGCCGACAATGGCCTCAGGCGTGCTGTGCCACACCATATCGCCAATCCACTATCAGTGTCACATAGCTGCTCAGCCTCCATTACGGCTTCGACACGCGAAAATTTGCATTCTGCGAACTTTGTTGACGCTCTTGGTGGCTGGAGAACCGCTGCGAACTTGAGAGCTATCAGAGCTCACCGCCTGCTTGTACATTGCGTACGTATGTGTACGATTTAACTGGTCGGGCCAATGTCATCGCTCCAGTGCTGAAGACTATCCCCTACTGAGAAGCGACCTCGCACTCGAGAATGATCGCACTGCTGCTGAAACGGATCGCTTGGCAGCGCTACACTTACCAACATGTGGGAAGCGAAGGGTACGGGGCGGAAGCGTCTCACTGTCTCTTTACTGTTCGGATGCTTATTAAGGTAGTCAAATTCGGACAAACAGCCCATTGCAGTATCGACTCCATATTGCTGATGTCTCATAAGCAAGTCTATCCGACACTTCCATCGAAACTAAGCCACGTTTCTTCTCACGTCTCACAGGAACCATCTACGCGCCGTCCCGGGTTGCCTGGTCTACCTGTCAGCAGAACGTATGCCACTACCAGGTTTCGGCCCCATCGCCGCTGAGAACCAATCACAGCCTTGCACAGGAGCAACAAGCTTTGTTACATGGGTACGATAGCAGCTGAATGACTGGCTTAGGCCAAAAGTTAGGTATGAATAGATCAGGTTCCATCGCTGGAACCGAGCTTGGAGAAAGCTTTTGTTGAACGGTGTGTTGCAGTGATTTGCCAAGCATGGCGAGATTTCACCGAAGTAAAAGTCGAAATCATGGAAGGTAAGATCACACTCAAGTGCAATGCTTGCGAACGGCATGGACACGATCACATGCCACTCCCAACGTAAGGTCCACATCAGAAAACATCGAATAGGCCCCAGCCTACCACCTGTCTCACATTGAAACAAAGATTTGGGATTTTCTCGCTATCATGCCCACTCTAGGAGCTGCAACAAGCGGCACGGCAGTACAACTCTACATCCTCGGCACCTCCGACCTCCTTCGATATCATGTTCTGCCAAGCCGAAGTCGGAGCCTGCTAGATGTCTCAGAATGTAGGCAACTATTCTCGCCACTAGCGTGGACCCATGATCTTTCAATGGAGGTACTCACACTGGGTTATTGCCTGCCTTGTCGCGTTGGTATCCGGAAGCTTCTTCGCTCTAGTTGCACTTGATCATGTCGTGTTGCGTGAGATTGGAGTCGGGTTGGGTCCCGTACAAGACTTGGGATCTCGATGTCTAGTAAGGCTCAAATAGACACGTTTTTCTGAGTATAGCTGGCGAGACTTGTGACTGAAAAGCCAACGACGAGAGGTATGTAGATATCTCATGTTCATTTCATACAATACAATGTGTGCAGTATAATACAAATATGTTGTACCATCTAGTCCCCTCGCAAGGCCTCAGCCATCCCAGGGAAACCCCTCGGTGGCTGTGCATGTCCCTGAGGCTTCGTGCTCTCCAGGAACTCACTGAACTGCTGACCCTGCTCACTCTGCTCATCCAACTCCTTGATCCCACTCTTCTTTGCTCCACCGACCAAATTCCTGAAAGAAACCTTCTCAGCATACGGTCTCGCTGGCGGCTTCTCGTCGAATTCGCCTCGGCCAACAGCAACCTCCTGGCCAACGGATCGCTTCAGTTTGATCTGGATGCGCCCGTCGTTGGTGACGCTACCAAACTGGGGTTGCACCATAATCTTCCTGCCACCGGGCGTGTCCACATCAATTGTCTCGACGTCCTTGGCAGCCGCATAGTTCCTGGGAACAGTGTATGAAGTTGTGCCGCTGTGGTCATCGTTGGCTACGAAGCCGCCTACTCCCAGACGGGCGTAGAGCTCGTTCTTTGTGCCTGTGCGTCTGGCTTGCATGACACGAGCAGGTATCGGGGCAGGGTTCTCTTGGGGACCGAGGATGGGGTGATTGGCGAGGTATGACTTGTGACGAAGATAGCCGAGTCCGGCTGAAGGGTGGGTGGAGAGGGGCGCGGTTTCTTGGTCGAATTGGTACTGATCGACTTCGTTCTTGGCAGCGTCCGGATTGTATGCTGTGTGCTTGAATCTGATGGCTGGGAGCTTCAAGAAGGGAAGTATCAACTTGCTGACGAGCTTGCTGCTTAGTGGATCCTTTGCAGTCTCTTGCCTCAGCGCCTTGATACCAGCATCAATCTCAGGTTTTGTGATGTGACGCCAGGCCTTTTCTCGTTGCTCTTGCCAGACTTCAGCTTCTTGGGCGTCTATTGGTGCTAATTCGCCGGATATGGAAGCGGCAAGACGACGAGTGTCGTATATCTTGTTCTTGACATACTCGACTAGGTAGTCATTGAACTCCTTCTTGCGGCCTGCAAGCTTTTTGGTAAGAAAAGAGATGAAGTCCTCGGCGCCCATACCAGGAAGCCAAGGTCCCTCGTGCTTCCATCGCCTGGTATTATGAACGACGGGATCCACGGGTGGCGGGGTAAAGGGTGTAAACTGCAATGATCCTGGAGTCTGCGGGGCTTCTAGTCGCTGCTTCAGAGCGTTCCTTGCATTCCTCTGCTCTTTCTGAAGGGCTACAAATTCTTCTAGCCAAGGCTTATCGTTTGATGACTTCCTGCTCGCTTCTTTCTGAAAGGATTTAAAGTCGGAAAGGTGAAGGCCCCATCCACGAGCCCTGAAACTCGCGAGCTTTTCTTCCCACCTCTTTCTCCAGGTGGCGTTGAAGTCGTCCCATTGAGCCTTGACTCGCTCCGAAGGCATGCTCTTCTTGAGAGCCTTTAGGTAAAGTCCAGCCTCATCCAGTCCGAGATCCGTGTCGTAACTCGTAGTATCATCCCGAACCTCAAAAGCTCCCGGCAGTAAGTCGTCGCTCACGCCGCGATTTCTCATCAACGACAGGCCCTTGATCATTGGCACACCCATTTCTTCCCACTTTTGTCTTGTCCGCACATGATCTGCCGCCGATTCGAAGTCCGTAACATGCTCGATAGTATCCAGCTGAGTAACCCTCAGTACTGGGTCGCTCACTTGTACCAGGTGACTCCTTGACGGAATCGGCCGCTTCAGACCCCAATCGCCACGTGCTAATGAGGACTTTGTCGTTGCAATCGCTTGGTGGGTCGGGTATGGCAGGGTCGCGGTGTCGGAGGACTTGGAGATGCCCGCGCCGTAAGTATCGCTCACGGGCGGTCGTGCAAGTGGGTTGGGCAGCGAGAAGAGGCGAGAATTCCGGAGGAGGTTGGAAGTAGGCGAGAGGGACTGGCGGCTTAGAGCCATGTTGGCGATGCGACAGCCGCGTGTGGGCGTTCAATGGCGGCTGAAGTGATGATTCCGATGTGCATATCGAAATGTCGAGTGGAGTTTGCGGCGGAGTGGCCCGTGCGAGACCTCCGCGGCTTCTGATGGGTTGCAGGCTGGGTCACATCACCACGTCAAGATGCAGAGGCGGTGTTAAATGCACTTTCATGTTGATGGACTATTACGATGATAAATATCTACAGGAGCTATTCAAGATCTCGTTCCCTCCATGCATACGTGATTCGTCCTCCGCCTCAGCGCACATGTCGCGAGCATTTCCGACATACACACTCTTCTGGCGTATGCAATGTGCTGTCCGCCATCTTTCAGGTCAGGACTCACCTCTTCAACCAAAGGTTTTATCCGTATGGTCTTTGAAACGCATACCGCGCGCCGGGTGGTCTATACATATCATTGCAATCTTCTACGTGTGCATGCCGGTGTATGAATGTCGTAATGCAATGACTGGTGTCATCCCCACTCATCCAGGCAAGTGTTTGTCCCAGTCCTGATCATCGTCTTCGTCGTCGTCCTTGTCTTTCCTGTTTATACGTGGAACGTGCCCTTCAATAGCCATGGTGTGGTCAGATGTTTGCGCAGGAAGCGACGGTGGTTGAGGCGGCGCGTTGCTGGAAGAGCGCTCGAGAATCTGGTCCTGGACGAGGTCGTTGTTTGCCTTGGTAAGGTTGCCCGGCTTCTCGCCTCGTTCGAGCGCAAGATCAGTCATGGCGTCTGCGCGGGCGGCCCAGGCTGCGTCGAGGTCTGCTTCGTCATCTGCGTCAGCCGTGGTCGCACTCTCCTGTTTGAGACGTAGCGGTAGGGCCTTTTCATGTTCATCGGCATTGTCGACCATGAGCTCAATCTTGTCGCCGTACCCGCCGTGTCGCATCCACGCCGGCTCCTCGTTCAGCTGCACCTTGACGTAGAGTGCGCGTTTTGCGCAGTCATCTGAGCACCACACTTCGAGCACCTTCCTGTCTACTATTTCAACGCCGTGATCAGTGTCAACAAACTGCTTCCTCGCGGTGGATCGCGCCTTCTTCTTGGGGCGCGGGCACAGAGCGTATCCGCACTTGTCGGCAATGTTGCGCTCCTCAATGAGGGCGTCGTAGTCGGCGGGCTGGAAGGGAATTACTGCTTTCTGGAAGAAGTGAGCGTCCGAGGGCGAAGGTCGCTTAGCATCGGCGTCTGGCGAGGTGGGAAAGTCCATGAGGGTCATGACGGCCTCCAGCACCTCTGCCTCGACGCGCTTGCGGTCTTCAAGTACCGTCGCATGGTGGCGGGCAACTGCGAGGTGGCGCGCATTCACGGGTTTCCTGCCCGGAGGCGCGTTGGTAGAGACAGTCGCGTTCTTCAGGATGGACTTGGGCGGCATGACGGGTCTGTGTTGGTGTTGGGATCGTCGTGGCTAGAGTGTGAAGTGGAACCTCGTTGGGCGTGCTTGGCGGAGCGTCGGGGACTTGGGCGGGGCTGTTTGAGCTTCGTCACCACACTTGTTCGCACGAGGCACCTGCAGCAGCCCTCATATCTCCCACTGCCCCTCGCCCAGAGCTGGATGGGTGCAAGCATTGAATGGTAGGCTGCCCCGTTGACCCGCGCGTCCCGCATTGCTGCCCAGGCTGACATGGGCGTCATCGCAGCTACACGTCCGAGACCCGCCGTGCACCTAGAGAGCTCCCACACATTCTTGCTGTAGCGCTGTCAGGCAGGGACCGCAGCTGTCACCCCCATTGCGTCTTCCGCCGCCAGACCACCTCTGCAGCCATCGACACCGCCCGCCGCCATGTACAAAGTCAGGGCCGTCTTCGACTATGTGTCTAACCACGAAGACGACTTGGGCTTCAAGGTCGGCCAGATCATCTCCGTCACCGAGGAGGAGGGCGACGACTGGTACGTGGGCGAATACACCGACGACAGCGGCACCAAGCACGATGGCCTCTTCCCCAGGAACTTCGTCGAGCGCTACGAGCCAGAGCCGCCACCACGACCCAACCGAGCTTCGCGGCACAAGCCCTTAGAGCAGCCGCCTGCGCAGGAAGCCCCTCCCACGCCCCAAATACCGCAGCAGGAGCCAGAGCCAGTGCTGCCTCAAGAACCAGAGCCGCCAAAGCCCCAGGCCCCTCCCATTGAGGTGCCCAGCGCCGCCAAAACAACACCGCTGCCCATGTCACCCATGTCGCCTCGCTCTGCGTCGAGCGCAAAGGCTCCGGAAGCCCTGCCGCCGCAGTCGGAGTCATCCAAGCCCGCTCCTCCCGCGAAGAAGGCTCCTCCGCCTGTCGCTCCCAAGAACAATGCCTTCCGGGACCGCATTGCTGCTTTCAACAAGCCCACTGACCCTCCGCCCAAACCCTTCAAGCCCTCTGGCGGCGCTCCTAGTTTCATCAAGAAGCCCTTCGTGGCTCCCCCGCCGAGCCGCAATGCCTACGTTCCTCCCACTCGAGAGGCTCCCCCCGTCAAGACCTACCGTCGCGAAGAGGACCCTGAGATTGCAGAGCGTCAGGCGCAGACCCAGAACGATGCGGAGCGCGCGGGATTGGTCGCGCATGACAAGGCAAATGCGAACGAGGGCGAAGAAGAGCCACAGCCCAAGATCAGCCTGAAGGAACGCATCGCTCTGCTGCAGAAACAGCAGCAGGAGCAGGCAGAAAGGGCCGCGGCTATGCACAAGGAAAAACCAAAGAGACCGCCTGTGGCCAAGAGGACTGAGTCTCAAGACGCTCCCGCTGAAGACAGCGAGGACACTGGCCTCGAGCGCGTGACAAGTGGAGCTTCCAAAGGTCGTGCATCCATGGACCAAAATCGCCCTCCGCGAACATCGCACGATATCCGCTCTCCAGACGCGCTCAACCGTGACCGCGATCTCCTCAGCGAGAACGACGCTGACCAATCAGCAGCTGGAGATACTGAAGATGCTGGAGGAGAATCCACAAGTGTCGAAGAGGACCAGGACCGACCAAAGAGCAGGCAGCCGCCACCGCCACCTCCCAGAGCACCTACTGCCCCAACGGAAGAGCCCAACGTTGGTAATGAGCAAGACGTGCCCGAAGAAGAGGAGGAGGAGGAAGAAGAAGACGAGGAGACTGCCGAGCTGAGACGGAAGGAGGAGTTACGCGAGCGCATGAGGAGACTGGGCGGTGGCATTCCCGGCATGCCCGGTATGCCTGGTATGTTCGGAGGTGGTATGCCCATGGGCGGTGGTCTTCCACCGAAGAAGAAGAAATCGACCACCGAGAAAAGGCCCGAAGAAACTGAGGAGTACAGCATGCCTCAGCAACGAGTTCCTATGTTTGGTATGCCTGGTATGATGCCCGTCCGAAGCCCAGAACCTGAAGATCGCACGCTTTCTGTCGAGAAGGAGGATGAAACTTCGCACCCCGTCACAGGCACTCACTCAGCGAACGAAGTGCCAGACGTAGAGGAGGTTGCATCTCAGCCGGCCCGGCCAACTACTGGCGATGGTCCTCCACCTGTTCCAACAGACCGTAAGTTTATCATTCCTCGCAAACCAATCCGCGCTTTTGTACACCATGCCCAAGGCCGCCTGCAGTCGCCATCTTCCGAGACCTTATCGAAGACATATGTCACTTATGACGGTCTGTCGGAATATGTCATGACTGTATGCGTGTCTAGTATGTGTGTGCACTTGGCTCTATCAATAATTCTTACGTCCATTCCACTGGTTCTAACATTCTCCAGGACGTCCTGCTCCCCCTCCTGTCCCATCAGCCTGTAAGTCATATCGGCTATCAATACGTGAACAACACTGACAGTACCTAGCTCGACCGGTACCGCCACCTCCTCCGCAGGTTCTCTCTCCTGGGCCCGGATCTGAGTCTGGTGATGAGATGACCGACACTGCCCCTACCCCGTCTGCCCCTTCCCAGCCATCCAATAGGCGGGCATCGTATTTCGCTTCTGGCGAGCCAGCTCAGGATCTGGCAGAAAGACGCGTGCCTCCCATTCCGTCAGCGGGTCCTACATCGCCTACAATGAGCCGTCCGCCTCCGCCACCTCCACCAACGCAGGCACCTCCATCGCGCCATGAAGATCTTCCGATTCGCAAACTGGACCGTAACGAGGGCGAGACTGACTACGAAGGTGACTATGACACCGACATGGCGCCCGAGGCAACTCACAAGGACGCCTTGAAGTCACATGCTCGCGATTCCAGCGTAGAAGACAATACCTTGACGGACGAGCCAACTTCAGCACGCTCGCCCACTATTCCTCAGGGAATGCCGCCTCTGCCTCCTACTGCACCTCGTGCAGTTCCGCCTCCACCACCTCAACAGGGGCCCAGTCGGCCATCAACAGATGCCCCCCGTGGTGCACCGCCTCTCCCACCGGTACCACCACCGACTCGCAGCGCCCCTATGGACGATGACGATGAAGAATATGACCCTTTCAAGTACACTGGCCCACCCCTTCCGCAAGCCGCGGCGCCTCCAGCTCCTCGAGCAGTGCCACCGCCCCCACAAAGCCAGCCTCCTCCCCCGCAGAATCGCCCACCACCACCCATGCCACCATCGATGCCTCCTGTACCACATCGTCAAGCGGGTGAATCAGATGAAGAGGATGATTTGTACTCTTCCCCGCCGGCTCGGAAGTCTCACGATAGGCCACCGCCTCCACCACCTCAGGCTCCTCCACACCAGCATGCACCTCCGCCTCTTCCACCTCTACAAGCTCCGCCTCCTCCAGCTCAAGAAAGAATGGTCCCGCCGCCACCGCAGGAACGCCCAGTTTCTATGTTCTCGCCAGTCGCAACGGAGGCACCGCCTCGGATGCTGAACACTCGGAAGTCGCTTGATGCAGCCCAAATGCTGACGACTCGATCTTCCATGGATCAGCCTCGCCCGGCAACGAATCAAGGTTTCATTGCAAACGATATCGATTTGGGGATGTCGTCGCATTGGTGGACCCAGCCCAAGCTACTTCCCCCATCACTCCAAGCTCGCAAAGACGTCCTGGTAGACATGAAGGAGTCGCAATCAGGCAACACTGTGGAGAAACTCATCAAAGTTCTTTACCTTGACTACTCACAAACGATCATTTCCGCCCGCTTCGAGTCCACCGACGTCTCCGACGTGGATCTTGAACAGCGCAATGAGCCGCCGCCTCCAAGCCAGCGTCCTGATCAGCTGGAGAACGCGTACGAGCAGTTTGGTCGCACGATAGCCAAGACTATTGAGTCGAAGCAGAACACTGTCGTAGGCAATGGCACGCCACAGGGACTGATTGAGGAGCTGTTTAAGCCCTTCAATGACGCACTGCCCCCAATTTCAACTCGCTCCTACGGCGCGCTTGTGTACGCCAACCTAGCGAACGCGTCAACCCAAGTATATGATGAGATTCGCCCTGGTGACATCATCAGCTTCCGCAATGCAAAGTTCCAGGGTAAGACTGGGCCAATGCATGCTAAGTACGCGATGGATGTTGGGAAGCCGGATCACGTCGGTGTTGTTGTCGAGTGGGATGGGAGTAAGAAGAAGGTAAGGGCTTGGGAGCAGGGACGTGAGCACAAGAAGGTCAAGCCAGAGAGCTTTAAGATGGGAGATTTGAGATCAGGTGAAGTGAGAGTGTGGCGTGTAATGAGTAAGAGTTGGGTGGGTTGGAACTGATTGGTCGAGCTGCCCGTTTGTAGGTGAAGAGCGAGGAGAATTGTAATTAAGCCTTTAGTCTTGCGCGTCTGTGTATCCTAGCTGGCACCCTCCAAAACTTTCCAACGTACTCACCATACCACACTCTGATACCTACAATACCCCAAGACACCTACAAAATGACATTCACATTCGACCCCGAAGTCGACTATGCACCCGCGCCCTCGCCGCCAACGTCCGCAGCCCACATGGGGCCATCTTGGAACGCTGTCTGGCGGATCGCCATCACCAACGCCGACAAGGTGGCCGCCCTGGCCGAGGCCAAGGGCATGATCAAGGAGAAGCTCCGGTGGGAGAGAGCGGTTGCGGCGGAGAAGAGGGAGAGGATGAAGGTGGGGGTTTCGGCCTGGAAGCTCGCTCGCGAGCTGGATGAGTGGAAGTAAGTCTTAATTGATCACACATTGACGAACTAAGCTGACATATCTTGACAGGCCGGTCTTCGGACAGTAGATCTGGGTAGAGTGGAGAGGAATTGGGGCCTTCGGGCAAAACATCTTGAGTTCCTGGCGGTGGCAGAGGTTGTGCCGTGCGATTTTGGGGGGATGGCGCCGCTGTGCGCCTTATAAATATGCACGTGAATAGATTCTTTCTCCATCAGTTATGTGAGATCTTGCAATATGCTGTGATGATGACATTGTAGATGTGCTTCGTATGGTGCTGCAGATGTTGTTTTGATTATTTTGGGTACCTCTGTAGCTGCCACTCTCCTACATCATCTCACAGACTCAATCGGCACGCAACCTCCTGGAGCAATACAGTACGCTCGCATGTTTCCCCCGTCAGTCGCATCATCACTGACAACCTCCAGGGTGCTCTGTCGTCGACGTCTCGAGACTGTGATGATCTAAGGTATTTTGCAAAGCTCTCCGCCCTTCACTAGCAAACAACAGTTCCTGATACATTGTGCAGAACGCAACCACCTTTGAAACTTTTTCAGCAACTCAAGCGAGCGATACCGAACAATGCCACCCAAAGCTTCCAAGAAGTCCTCAAGCGCTCCTGCGAACCTGCCACGAACGACGAATACGCACACGCTACCGCCCTTTCGCTAAGCGAAACAGTCGCACTGTTCCCAACGCATGCGCCGTACCTCCTCACACACCCTCTGCTACTCATGTTCACATGTCTCTTCTTCATGGGCGATGAGATCGCAAAGAAATTGGACACAGTTGATATCGAAGTGGGAGAGGACTGGGACGAGCGTACGCGGGACGAGTTTCTATGGACATACTGCGGCGATTGGGAGAAGTGGCCGATTGACTGCGTTGAGCGCACGTACATGGCGGCTCGTGATGAGGTTCGCTAGTACGTGGAGAATGATGTTGATGAAGATGGGAGTGCTATATTGGCAGCGTCGGTGGATGGCAGTGATGACGAAGTCAGCGATGGACAGGATGGCGAGAATGAGCAGGCTGAGGACGACATGGATGAAGAGGTGGAGGACTGATAGATATTAGTCCAGACGAATGCATATGTTGATTGAAGATGTTAAGCCTGAACAGGAGGCAGAAGCAAAGTTGTGTTTCAATAACAACGTGGACGTCTTTCTAGACGTTGCTGCGCCTCAGCTACTGGGATATCGCCAGCCGACAACGAGTCCGCGGGATACAGATCCGCTACTCCAGCACCCTAGACGCACAGTGGAGTCGTTTGGAGCTTTCTGTCTATTTGCTAGATTGCTCATGTCGTGACATTGAAGTTTGGCTGCGCACAAAGTCGCTGACAATTGTAGCAAACTGATCAAAGCATAAGACCTTCATGTTCAGCCGTTCGGTCTCCTCACTTGCTCCATTCAATATCCTCGCCCACATACAATCTTCGTCAACGATCAAGCTTTTGATCCGGCATATGAGCAACAACATGGACGACAGCAAGAATGGACCTGACGAGAGGACCACGAGGCCGAACATACCAGCCAACTCCAAAGCACCACCGAAGTCTAGGTTGAAAACACTCGTGTATGCGAGGGGCGCATTGAGCAACCATGATGGCGATACTGAAATGGTCGAAGCGGTGGAAATGCCAGGAAGCATCGCAGGCGAGCCGGCAGTAGAGCCTCGTAAAAAACAACGAAAGAGGAGAACGGGGATCCCAGACATGAGTGAAGATGACGAAGAACATGAGGACGGGAATGACGACGGTAAGGTGGTACCGAGTAAGAGAAGGAAAAAGGGCAACGCTGCTAAACCCGCAACTTCCGTCGATACTGACAAAGAGGAACAACAACATCCGCAGGCCCTCGAAGTTCCCCCTAAATTCGAGATAGCGTGGGCGGCGCTGGCCGACAAAGAGGAGAAGGACCCGAAGAGGCCCGACAAGACCATCATCATCGCGCGAAGGAAGAGATGGGAGAATGCTAACGTGGAGGTATTGATATGGAACGACTGCGAGCTTGAGTGGATGAGAAAGACCAATGCGACGAAGCTGTACAAGAAGACTGTCGAGAGATTTGAGAAAGTCGAAGAGAATGATTGGATAGATGTCGACGTACCTGGCTGGTATCAGGTAAGGATTCTCGACAACGTCGTGCTGACAGACGGGCCGGAGAAATTCATCACACGATTCAGCAACGAAGACTACGACCGTGTGCACCAGATGCTCATATTCATATTGAGTGAGGTCCTTCAGCCCAGATCGTGGCTGGTAGAACCAGAGGAAGGAAGCTATCAGTATGCGACGCACGAGGACGAGGCGAAAGCCATGGCATCCATCTCCAAAAGTGCTCAAGAGCTCGTCGAGATAATCTGGAAGCCTTACATCGATGACAGCAACCCCGATGACAGCGAGACCGATGAAAACCAGGTCGATGAGAACCAGCTCAACGAAGAGACTTATCAAAACTTGAGTGATGTAAATGTCATATGGACTTCTGCATCGAATAAGGTCAGAACGTCCAACGATGACAACGAAACAGCAACAACAACGGGACAAACATCCAAGATCAAGTTGACGAACATCTGGACTGTCTTCATCAAAGACTTCCATGTTTGGCAGAGAAAGCGTACTACTGGACCAGTCTCGTTAGTCAAGATTGTGCCGCCAACCATAGCGAAACGGAAAGACCTCGGTCGTCGTATGATCACCCACAGTCCCCATGTCGCCAGGCCAAGCTCATGGCCCTATCTGCTCGCCCTGGCCTTCCTCGCAGACGACGAAGCGGAGCAAGCGGAAGAGGAGGTGGGGCTGATGGCGCACCACGCTCGTTCTAGAGATGCTATCCATACCTGCATGAAAGAGTATCAAGAGCATAAGAAGCTGAGCTATTCCGAAGCAGTACACACCTTCTGGTTGCTTCAGCAGTCCCTGCAGGACGAGCAGTTCGCCAGCGAGAGTAACGCAAAAAAGCCAGATGATGACGCTGCTCCGAGGCCTGAACCCGACCGCGGACAACGTAGCGACTCCGAACACGGCAACAGTACAGACACCTCTGGAGATGAAGACGACGCTCCAACCAACGAGAAGAGCGCCCGGCCATTGAAGGATAGGAGACACGGTAAGCTGGCGAACGAACACGACGAGCATATTGAAGCAGAAGATGCTAGAGACCAGTCAGGGAATGCCGAGATTGAAGGAGATGGCACTGAAGCTGACCAAGATCTACAAGCCCCAACTCATACTCCTCAGCATCAGGGTGCCTCAGAGGAGAGAGAAGCGACTACAAAGTCAGGCCCTGATTCAGGAAAACCTGGCATGTCAGCGGTGACTGATAACGAAGATGGGGTAGTGGATGGAACATCTAGGCTTGGAAAACCGGGCAAGAGGGTATCCACTGCTGCGATCGGTGAGCAACCGCCACCAAAGAAGTCGAAGACTAAGAAGCCTGTGGCGTTGGCCGATGACCAGAACTAGGTAGACAGGGTCGGCCGTGTGGAAACGTCTATAGCTTCAGCTGCCACACTCTATAGCTGTCAATTCATCTCTTAAGTTTGATATAGCCACTTGTAACATGTAGCAAGCTTGCAACAATCCACACTGGTGATGGTGACATGATTGCTGGTATAACAGGCGTTGGTATAAGAGGGCAGGTGTGCTATGCCTGTTATCAACGTCTCGTTACCTGCTTTGATCGCACAATCATCATCCCAAACACAGCATGTCGAAAGATCGATCAAAGCCAACAACTGCTGCCGTGCAGAAGGACGAACCGCAGCCTCAGGCTGAGACATCCACGATAGCTACCATCGAGAGCACTGCTTACCCAACCTCAGACACGATCATAGTCCCGGACGATATGGCCGAGCTCTGGCTCCAGGAGGCACCCGACGATCTCCCAGGTCCAGTCATGAACGAGAAAATCATAGCTGTCAGGCGATTGGGCCTAAAGAGAAATTACCTTTACTTGCTAGAAGGGACGGAGAAGTGGTTCTGGCCTCAGCGTGTCGCCAAAGACGCGAAGGATACGTGGAAGAAGCAAACTAATGTAGCATCCATGAAAGGCCAGAATCTGGATGTTCAGAATAGCCTGCATGCTTACGACTTGTTCCTGATTCGGGTCGATTCGGCAAAGGTGAATCCGCTGCACGCTGACCTCGGTGTCGTCGATCGGAACTGGACAGAGATAAGAGAAGTTCGATACTACACATCTCTTACTCGCAAAGAACAGAACACCGAGGAAGAGAAGACCCCAGGCGCTGCTAAGGCTCAATCCTCTGAGACGAAAAAGAGCAAGAGCTCAGCATCTAGTGCGCCTCAGGAAGCGACATCGAACCCCTCCAGTGCTGTGCACATCAAGAGGTTGGAAAGACGGATACTTGAGGCTATTTTGGTGCGAGCAGCAAGACGATCGAGCTGGTTGTCAGCCAAGCATGAGAAAGCGTACAGCTTTTACGAGAAGAAGCACTATGACATGGCTCAAGGCCATGGCCTACGAACACCGTACATAGTACTTGACACAGTCGGTTTTGCCAGTACTTACCCGATGGAATACATCGGCATCCTGCTGCGCTTTGTGCAAGACATCGATCCACTCTCTCCTGTCTCAGAACCAAGGAACGAGCTTGAGCCCTGGCACAGGGATTTCTGTCCATCGGAAGCACACGAACGACGTCCTACGATAAACCCGACGAAAACGTTCGAAGTCCAGTGGAAACAACTGACAGACATGAACATTAAGAGTCTGCTCAATACCCCTCAGCAAGACCGGGAAGAAATCGTTTCATTGATAGTGTCTGAAGCACCACACACGCTGTGCAACGACAGTTGGGTGTTGCTTCTCGTACTCACTATCGGGACAGAAGAGTTCATCGGGCGTTGTCTCAAATCAGCCGATATCAAGGTTGAGAGCGGATGGTATGAGCGTTCTTGCCAGAAGCTTCTTCATCAGCTTAAGGAATCGTCCAAAGAGGAATTAACACTCGTAGAGGACTCTGATGTGTACATAGCATGGAAAAGGCTGAAGCAAGGAATCCATCGGGGTGATGTGAATCCTGAGTGGCTCGAAGAAGACGCCGACCAGTGGTCCGATGGAAACATCTCTGGCACGGAGATAGAACCGGGAAGGAAGACTACGGGGTCTCGATCTGCGGACAATGATCTCGATACTGCATAACTCATCGGACATTCATGGAAGCGCACCTAGTCTGGACAAGAGAATCGAGGAGGACTGAGAGGGTAACGGAAGGAACCTTCTTGGCTGGTGGTATCAGAGGTGACGACAGCGTGACTGGGATGGACTCTCAAGATAAGGTCGACAGTAAGGATAGATAATGCAGTGGTGACCGAACTCCGTCTGGGTGACATGCCTGCTTCCTACTCGTCGCGTACAAGCTGAGGACTTGAACGAGAACTTCTGGGCCTGCGCGTTTATCCTTCTCATAAGCTCATTCGGCGGGCCGCGTATTGGCATTATCTATTCTCCTCGTCGTTCTAAATCGTCGTCCAGCGTGCTGCTCTAGCATTGTCTTTGCCCCTGATACTCCACTTTGGTGTGCCAGCGTTTGTGAAGCTAGACTGGTATGCGAAAAGACGAAGGACGACCGAGATACTGAGTGTTCTGGGGCGAGGAAGGCGCGTTCGGGATGTCGCAACAGTACGGTGATATCGCGGTAGGCGTGCGTGGGGCTGATGGGCAGGCACGCAATCGCTCGCAGTATCATCCTCGGTGAACGCTTTCATGAGTGCGCCGCGCCCCTCGCGTGGTAGTAGGAGAAGACCTAGAGAAATTTGAGTAGAACAGGGCCAATGTGCAGACAGTAAAAGGCTGCTGGATGTGAACATCTAGTATCAAACGCGGACCGTCATCTTCAAATTTTGGCGCGACACCGTACTGCCAGAGCCCCTGATGTGCGAGGCGTCGTTGTGACCTACGGGCTCGCGTCGAATTGATGCCGAGAGCGCGAGCGCGATATGCGCTATGTGCGAGAAAACAAAGAAATAAGGGCGTGGCAACAGGTCGCGTTGTACAGAAGGGCTGACTGAGATGAGGTCGGATCAGAGTTGGTGGGCCGCCCGGAAAAGTAGCCGCATCCATGGCTCGCGCTTGTCGATTCAGGGAAAGTGCCGCCATCATCCCCAACAAATCGATGACGCAGCATCTCCCCTTTCTCCTCGCCATCCTTCCTCCGCGTGAAGGCGCGTTCAAACAATCCAGCTGCGGAGCCTCACCATGGCGCGACATGACCAGACCGTCAGTAAAACGCCAAGTCGCCCTTCGCGTAGATGGCCCGGCGCTGAAGGTGGGTCAAGGGGCGGCTGCAGAAGCTCGTTGCTTCCTTATCGTTAAATCCGCCCAGACCCCGGGAATAATGACATATCCACAGGTCCGACATGTAGAATCCTACAAATAGTCCATTCCCCGTCGCAGTAGCCAAGCCTGGGTATCACCGACCTAATAGCTTCTTCCAGCATGACGACAGACCACAGCATAGACCCCCGGTCTACACCACCGTCAGCACAGCCTCGGACGTCCCCAGAGCAGACACTGGATGTAACAGAGGACAGTTCCAGAAAGAGCGAAGAAGACGCCTTACATGGCCTGGAGAAGGGCTTAGACAGCACTATGCCACAAGAACAAGCAGATCGCTTTTTCGTGGAGTTCGATGGACCCAAAGACCCCGGCAACCCGAAGAACTGGACGCCCAAACGAAGATGGTGTATCACAGTTTCCATGGGCCTCATGGTTTTCACGGTCACATTTGCCAGTTCTATTTTCAGTGTCAACATCGGGATTGTCCAAGAGAAGTTTCAGGTCGAAAAGGTCACAGCAACTCTCGGAGTAGCGTTGTTCGTCCTGGTACGTTGAGGCCCTACTCGGCAGCCAGAGTTCCAATATCTAATATGAAAGGTGTAGGGATTCGTATTTGGACCGATTGCCTTCGGGCCAATGTCAGAGGTTCTAGGTCGCAAGATTCCCCTCATGTTCGGCTTCGCACTCTTCGCTATCTTCCAGATCCCAGTCGCTCTTGCCCAAAATATAACGACGATATGCGTAGGCCGCTTTCTTGGCGGCCTCTTCGCCTCTGCACCCCTCGCAGTCGTGGGTGGAGCTCTTGCAGACTTGTGGGATCCTATCCCCAGGTCGTATGCTATCTGTGTTTTTGCCGCTGGTGGATTCGCTGGTCCAGTAGCAGGACCCATTGCTGGTGGCTTCATCGCCGAGTCGCATCTTGGCTGGCGCTGGACATCCTGGATCACTCTCATCATGGCCGGCCTGTTCGGCGTTATTGGCTTCCTCGTCATACCAGAGACTTCTGCAGCCAGGATTCTGCAGTTGCGAGCTGCAAAGTTACGAAAGGACACGGGCAACAGCGAATATCACGCTGCGGCAGACGAGAACAAGTTGACTCTCGACAAAGTGCTGAACGTTTACCTCTTACGGCCCTTCATCATGTTCTTCCAGGAACCCATCTTGGCGCTGGTGACAGCTTACATGAGCTTCTTGTACGGCATTGTCTATCTGCTTTTCGAAGCTGTGAGTCTACATCCATGCCTTTCTTGCTACGAGGGTCTGACAATCGATAGTTTCCCGTGTCATTCTATGAGGAACGTGGCTGGTCTCTAGGGGTCTCTCAGCTCCCGTTCGGCGCCTTTGTAGTTGGCATTCTGATGGGCGCTGGCTGTATTGCTTACAGTTCAGCAACTGGATTTACGCGCGCATTTCATAAACACGGCAAGGTCATCCCGGAGGAACGCCTGCCGCCCATGATACTCGGAGCCATCGCACTTCCTGTCGGTCTATTCTGGTTTGCCTGGACTAGCAATCCAAATATCTCGTGGGTACCGCAGGTGCTCTCCGTCGCCCTTCTTGGATTTGGTTGCATGGTGCCTTTCTGGCAGGGAATGAGCTACCTCATCGACTGCTATGGCTTCTATTCCAACAGCGCCATCGCGGTCAACACCTTCATCCGCTCGTTCGCGGGCGCTTTCTTTCCACTGTTTACACATGCAATGTACACCAAGCTCGGTGTACCATGGGCGACCAGCCTTCTGGCGTTCATCTGTGTGGTATTCCTCCCTGTACCCATTCTGTTCTACATCTTCGGGGCGAGGATTAGAACAAAGAGCAAGTGGGCACCAACGGCGTAACGAGGTAGGGGCAGCGCCTTCTTGGGTTGTATAGTTCAGGTATTGTGCATATGTGTATCCTTTCAGTGATTTCTCATCGTTTTCGAAGTTGAATGTCTATCTATTCCTCTCGGTCCTCATCTCAGTCCTTGCTTTAATCAGACATCGAATGCCTTTACGAGAAGATCAGCAAACTTTGCTCGGGCCAGCTCTTCGACGTACTCGATACGCTGATCCTTCTCTCTTCTCCTCAACTCCATCCAGTCCAGCTCTTGGAACAACTCCCTCAGCCTCCAGAAGATAGTAGCCCAGTAACCATCTGCTACATCCACAGAGTACTCACATACCTCCTGCTTCGCTTCGCTCGAAACGAAATGCCAGCCATTGTCCCCCTTGGTAGTGTCTAGGCGTTTGGCGCACCACTGTGTCCATGTTTGGAGCCAAGTCGACTGCGCCCAACGAAATTGCCCCAGGGTACCGTCCATGACCACCATCTGGCCGTCTTCTGTCGTAACTCGCAGGACCGAGTGCATTAGCACCGCGACGGGCTTATGCCTCAGACTGCGCCAAGACGTCATGAAGTTGACCCTCGGCCAACATCTCAACCATTCTGCGCGCCCACGGAACAATTCCCCGACCTTCTTGTCCACCTCCTGCTCGAGGACCATGCAAAACCAGTCGCACATGTTTTGCCGCGCGAGTGCTTCGTTGAGCCCCGGCGGCAGGAAGGAGAAGCGTTCAAGCTTTTTGGGCGGGTCGGTCTTTAGGTCTTCGGTCGACCAAACTTGCCAGACTTTGAATGGCACGGAATTGGTTTTATACGCCCGTGCGTATGCGGCTGAGGCTCGTGGCGCGGCGTCAGCGGCGGCGTCGAAACAACGTAGGTAAACGTGCAGGACCTCTTCCAGGGACAGAGGTGGTGCGGTGGTGGTGGGATTGGCCGGTGCCATGATGGAGATGTGAGCAGGAGGACGGCTTCTGCTCGAGTGTTTTGGTGTCCTGGAGGCAGTGAGGGTACGGAGGGGCAGCCACAATTTGTCCTTGGATTTTAGCGCTAAAGGTACGTCGGTGCATCCCTGTCAGTTCTGGAGCACCTTCACTGACGATTTACGATTACCAAGATGCACGAGAAGTTTACTGTATTATGTACTGTAACCAAGTTGTCGGCGGATCGAGGACAATGTAAGGAAGGCTTGTCTAATCCAACTGCGCTTCCTCGAATGCCCCCTCAAACTTGGCCATGCTCAGGGAACGGATACGTTCCTCTACATCGTCGTCCGACAGCCCACGGAGAGATGCCCAGTTCAGCTCCTGGAATATCTGCTCCATACGCCTGCGCGCGACTACCCAGTATCCGACCGCCCAGTATCCGTGGCTGCAATCCTTTCCCTCAAGCCTTTCGCACTTGGCGACCTCCCCCTGTTCGTCCGTCGTCCAAATGTCCCTCAGGTCCGAGTACTTGGGATCCAGAAAGTTTGCAACAAGCTCCTCCCGTGCCATGAACCAATGTGTCTTCCAGTCTCGTCCATATTGATCGGCAGTGCCATCGAAGACATAGTTCCCATCGTTACCATCGGATATCAATAGACAAGAGTGGGATATCAATTCATCCATCTCTGCCCAATCTGTGAGTATGCGGAAATGCGGTTTGGCTATGAAATTGATCCAAGTAACCGTGTGGCCGATGTCGAGAAGCTCTGCTCGCTGTCAGTCACTTTTCAAGCGCGCATACTGTCCAACGGGCCTTGTTCCTTACCACAGAGGTGCCGGGTTACGAAAGGCTTCATCATGATGCAAAATGTCTCGCAATAGTGCTTGAAGACCACTGCGCGATATTCACTGCCCGGGCTCAGTCGTGTTGGATCCGGGCTCCCAGATTCCGATCGATCGTAGTCGAAGAGCGCTTCCGGAACGCCGGGTCGTGACGTTCGGTTTAGCCATGATATCCTGATTCCGAAGACATGGCAGCCAAATAGCGCCTCTTGGAATATGATAAGATGCACGAGAAGGATCTTGCGAAGAGAAAGGGCTGGAAGGGTAGCTGCGACGCGCACGCCGGCTTGAGGAGACTCAGTGGCCATGATTGTGGGGGGAAAGTATCGGATTGGTAGCAGAAGATGGAGAGGGTAGTGAGAGTTGCCTTCACATCTGCTCCCGGTGTGGGCGTCCGAGTGCCACAACTAGCGCGCAAACGGGGACGCGCATAGTCCCAGAGTAGCCTGTCTACTTACAATTTTGGCCAGACTTTCGGACTGACCCGTCATCTTTTAAAAGTCCAGTCAAGTTCTTTCTTCACAAACAACATGGCGGCCATCGTCACCCAGAAGCAGGTCTTGGAGACAATACTGACTGACTGCGCCAACCACTACGGCGGAGACCCAATGGCGAAGCTCAAGTCAGTTCACCAGAAGCTCAAATCATCAATGAACCAGCTAACACACAGATCTAGGTCTCTTCCAGAGAACTACTATACGAAGACGAAGACATTGGCGGCGGATAAAGAATGGCCCACCGCTCTTGCAGCCATCGAGGAGGCATGTCGGATCAAGCCAAAGGGCCAGCATCCACTCTGTCGCGTTCGCATCAGAGCATCTCCCCACACTAAGAAGGGCAGCGGAACCCATGTCTCGAGCGTGGCCGCCTGCATGCACGACTATCCCTTCAACGAAGCCAACAAGGCTGACGCGAGCGCCGACGCGGACATGCTCCTGACTGGGCCCGCCACGGAGATCTCGTTCAGGTACTTCTACTTGCACCGCTGGATGCTCATCAACGCGCCACATCTGTTCGAAGACGACAGCCCCCTTCTCCTCCTTGCCCTGGTCTTCCAGAAGGCAGGCACTGTGGAGACGCTCCTGGCCGTTGCTGGCGCCAAGGTCACCGAGAAGGAAATGGACGATACGATAGCGCGCAGCATGGGACTGTACCAGCAGAGGTCTGGAATACTTGGATGGGCTCAGGCGTTCGAAGATCTTCGTGAGGCCATGAGGGGCAGGTGGCACTCCAACAGCGTGGTAGATTACAAGGGCTATGGCAAGCCTGGCTCATACATGCATGCCTCCCGCCAGAAGAAGACCCCGGTATGAAGGCCCAGGGAGACTATGTTGGTACGCGAGTTGCCTCGATCTGGAAAACAACGAATTAACAGAACGCAGGCGCCTCATCCCTTTTGACTGAAGGTCCACCGCGCGGACAACATGACTGCTATACCTCTTACTCGGCCATCGTCTTCATCTATCTCTCATGGCTCGTCTTCGTCGTCGCTCAGTCTTTTGTTCTCTACTCACGCCTCGGCCTCGTGTGGAGAAACACGAAGAAAGATCGCTACATTCTCTACATGATCACTACTAACTCGGTCATCTTTGGCCGAGAGCCACGCCTACCTTCCGATCGCGACTTCCCATAATACCCTCATCGACGCGAAGGATACGGAACGATAGCCAGGGCGACACTTCGAAGGAAGCCAAGTAGGAAGGAGGCCGGCGCGTAGGGCAAGGGGCAGTTAGACCAGCGCAAGGAGATCAGCCTGCGCGCTGTCTCCGGTAGTAGAGGTGGCATCATACAATCGCTCAGCAGATCAATACAGCACTGCACATATCATGATGTCTCCTCCAAGCTCGACATGATGATTGACGACGTGAATGTTACACAACGTCACCAGCATCAAGCTGCGCGACAGGCAGGCAGACTGAGCATTTTTATAGATGCCGTGAGACCACTGGCTCAGATCTGCTGGAAAAGTGGCACGGATATAAATCGTGTTTGTGATTTCAACATGCCGCAAGGACAGAGATTGCAGATGAAACCCGGCCTCATGGAGTGACGTGATGTGAACATCAAGGCTGGCGCATAAACTCGTGGAGCTGACTAGACCATATTACGGCACCTGGAGCATATACTGTAGACGCGGAGATCGCTCAGAGCATGCTCAAGCGCGGGAAAGGCTCATTGATGAAGTCAAAGCCATCGTCAGGTCAAAAAGCGCTGACAAGCTGGAAGCCATCCTCAGTGACGCGTCAAACACCAGTAGCCGGTGTCACGACCATCGCAGCCTCATCAAAACAAGTGACGGGACTTACCAAGCGCGTGGGGGACTCAGAAGGGGCACGAGCTCAATGTTTGTGCCCGCTCTGGCCAGTCCTTCACCCCCGCGAGACTGGCCACAGGATGTTCTGCCCCACTATACCCACAGATACCACTTGAGTATATAATACAACTAATGGATCTACATTTCACCATCCGGGGCAAGGATGTGTACTTTGTATAGTTGTGGCCCACCATCCACTTGGATGGTGCAGGTAGATAGTTGCTGTTTACTCTTGAGAACCCCGCTAACATATCCAGGTCTTCCACACGACAGTGTCCAGGCACTATAAAGTTATGAATACAGGTTTTTTTGCTAATTCGATTCTCTTGAGTAGCAAACTGGTGAAGACAAACTGTTCTTTTTGGTTCTGTGTTTTCCTGGACCAAGTGCGGCGGGGGTGCGGAGATTGGCTAGGTGACAGTGCGGAGAATGACGCGTTCCCCATCACAACATTGGCTAGATCTGCTTGTATACCACCCAAGAGAGCACCTGCAAGTTCTATCGGGACTTTCAGGCAGTCTCATGGTGTTTGTCTAAGTCCTATACCAACGTTTTTGCTCGCTGACACCATCTCCCGAGGTTGTACTTGACTGCCTTTGCTGCGCATCACTCCGCGTCTGCTCAATCAGAGCGCTTACGAGATGCCCTCTACTCTATTCTTACAACGGTATCTGTGGCCTGCAGCATCTCCCCTACATTCATCCGTCCTGCTGCTGTAAAGCGCCGACAAAGAGCTCCCAGCTGTTCGCTGGCGATAGTAATCGACATTAACCAGATGTGATCGCGACGAGCGCGTTGTGTCTTTTCAGCGTCGACTTTTGCTTCATGCACATTCCTAGAATGCAGACTATCTGCTCCAGCATTGCTAGCTTTGTGACGCGACGTAGCAAAGCGGACATCTTGCAACTCCTCTCCTGACGTGCCTTCCTTTTAGGGCTCGCATAATGATTCCCTTCGCAATGAGACTTGTTTGAGTAGTATGAGAGCATAGTTTCAGTACTGCGAGCCGAGGAGAGTGTTGGCTGTCAGCACTGTCTCCTTCTGCGCATACACGAAGGCAGGCACGGAGCAACGTAAAGATATGAATGTAGGCAGCGCTGTATCTGCGCTCCTGAACTGCACCATCATGTAACTGTTGAGCTGGCGATGCTCTTTGATAGCGCTTTTGACCTCCTCAAAGCCTGCACGTTCGACTATTCAGATGAACGCTTACGGCGCCCCTAAAGTGCCTCCTGACGTGAAGTCTGTATTCATGTGCTATCAATATTGGACCAGGATGCAGTAATGCGAGCGCAGAGATAGTCGTTGGTGCGTTTGTCAGTCCAGCGGAGGAGCGTCGGGGGGCTAGCGCGAGACCAAAACACCAGGCTCGATATCTCTGCTTCACCACTGACGAGCGCCGCCCACCCCGCCCTCACCCCGTCTCCAAAATTACTCTCTATCCCGAGCACTTTATCTCCAAAAGCCTCCTCATCGATAACTTCCCCGTCGTACCCGCACGCGACAAGCAAATCCAAGCCAACATGAACATCCAGCAAGCGCGGCAGCCAGACCCGAGCTTCGCTCGTACAACAGCGCTCATGGTCAACATATTCTCCATGACCACAGAAGCGGTCGATCCGCACAGGCTTCTGAGCGCGAGGGAAGTGGGCGGCCAGCTACATCTGCGCTTCCGCCCCAAGTGGGATGTCAGTCCCGGAATTCTCGCTCGAGAAGGAAAGTCCGTGACAGACGAGAGCTTCAAAGCACTCAAGTCGCACAACTACTGCGTCTTCGTGTGCAAGCTCCTAGCGGGTCTTTTGGCTTGGCTAGTCGAGGGTGAGTGGTATTTCGATTGTTTGCAAGAGATTCTCACCGCTAACAAACTATGACGCAGAACTACGCCTTCCAATCGATGTAGAAGAGGTGGAGATACACGGGGTCTACGAGATCAGACCCGTCGTCTGCATCAATAGCTCGACCGGCGGGAGAAGGCGGATCGCCAAAAAACACACGATGTTCAAAATCACCTCCCCCAACGACGACGGAGAGGGCGTCTACATCGACCCCTCAGCGCCCCAGTACCTACGACCCGCGGGCGTATACCCCGTCAGGGGATACCCTGCATACCCAGACAAGAAAGTGAGAGTGCCGATAAAGTTCTTCTCTTTGGGATACAATTACTCCCAGCACCTCAACAGCGTTCACGAGAACGAAGCCAGTTCGTCACGTTCCCGCACCCTGCGCATAGAATTCCGAACCGAAGCGATCGTGCGAACGGTCAACAATCGGGTACATCAGAAGATGACTGCCTGCGCATGGAAGGACGTCATCAGGGGCAGCAATGACGACAAGTGGGGTGCTTTTGAGCATGATATTCTGAGCTCCGTCAAGGCGGAGCTCGACGTCCTGGTGAACTACCTCGACAACAAGTACATCCCGGGTAATCTCGACAGGAACACGCACTGGAAATCCCTGGCTAAATCCTGCATGGGTACCGGTCATGCAAAGGTCATGGAGTCTTTGGAGCGAGCGTCGGGACACGAGGTGACGCGGCATCAACTTTCTTAGGTAGCTTCTTTGCGCGCGGGCAAAGACCAATCAAATCATTACACCGCAACTCATTGACCCGTGCTTGCAATCATTATCGATTGACTCTACAAGTTCATCTGAGTCCAAGTATCCTGCAGATTATTTCGCGTGATTCCAGCTGCGCAATGTTGGGATGTCTCTCTGGTTGACTTTCAGCCTTGGCGTACCCAACGATTGAACATATGCACGCCCAACACAACGGTTCTCGTATACTATTCACGCAGTACACTGATATCACCTAGATGGAACAGCTTCTGAGGCTGACGATGAGCTTCCGCAGCTTGAAACCCGGCATGTATTGTCCTCTGCAGAGTACAGATTGCCTACGTACAAGCCAGCAAGCAACTGATGGGACAGCTAGCCAAGGAATATGTGTCTTCTCTATCCCCAACAAGCTTGAGCAGCATCCCGGGCCCTTTGCGTCGCTTTCTCACGAACATAGTCTTCTCGATCGCTAGTCGCCATGCCCTCCAACCTAGCCCATTCGAGGCTCTGCAGCATCTCGCGCAAGCTGATCCCGATTTTGTGCCAATATCCCTGGCAAAACTCTTTGTGGTCTTCCAGACTCATATCTCTGTGGTACAAGTCGAGTTTGTATTGCCCATCATGGGTGTAATGAGGCCAAAATTTGTCGCCGCTTATAATCGCGATCGTCGCTGGCCACCCGAATTGCTCTGCTGTGCCATCAAAGATGATCTCGGATTCGTCTTTCTTGCGGATGACAAGGATCGAATGGCGCATCGAGATCTTTTCGTTGCGGATGTGGAGGACTTGGGTCGGCCTTGGATTCTCGAGTACGGCATAATCGACGTTGACGTCGTATGCTGTAGGAATGAGGTTAATTACTAGGGCCCGGCGTCGAAGCTACGATCAGGAAGTTTACAGTGTAGTCGCGTCTCGACCTCGTCGTAGAAGATCGTGCAGAAGGTGTCGCACAGGTTCAGCTTCTTGTAAGAGATCTCGAGCGCTTCTGAGGTCCCTACGGGCACTTGACCGTGGCTCTGGCGATCGAGTGTTACCAGTATATGGTTGTTGCCAAGGTCGCTGACGCCGAAAGAAGTGACAGAGATTGGGCGAAATGCGGCCACGGCGGCGTTGAATGCGATGAGGAAGACTTTAAGGACCTCCTCGATCGTGAGTCTGGCTGTTGAAGGTGCGCTGGAAGAGAACATTGTCGGCGTTGTTTGGGGATCGGTTCTGTGCGGACAAGTCGTCGGCGGTGACAGTGACTGGAGTGAGAAAGTGAGACAGCTGGACCCTTCTTTTTGCTCCGCTCGTGCACCGTCTCCTCTGAACGACATTTTGGACACAAACCCCGCTATTCCCTTCCCAGATCGCGCGATATCTCTCACCCCCGCGACACCCATAACACCTTCCGGTCGGCGTCATACTATGCGCTCTCGCACACTCGAAACGGACCCCGAACCG